CATCACCACCACCACCACCACCATCATCATCATCATCATCACCACCACCACCACCACCATCATCATTATCACCACCATCATCATCACCACCACCACCATCATCATCATCATCATCACCACCACCACCACCATCATCATCATCATCACCACCACCATCATCACCACCACCACCACCACCATCACCACCACCATCATCATCATCATCATCATCATCACTATCATCATGATGGTGATTATCATCATCATCATCATCATCATGTCGTTATCTTCATCATAATCACTGTCATCATCATAATGTTCAGGATGATAACAGTTCTAGACAGCTGTGTGTTTTTCTTCTCCTTTAACTCACATTCAGTGTTAGTGAAGGTCTCGGTTATGAGCTGATGAGCAGAATGAGGTGTGTTAAATGAGGTGAAACACTCAACATCAGCACTGTAGTCTAACACTCCTGCTCCAGGTAGTGTCCAGAGTGTCTAGGTGAATGATGCGTTCACATCCGATTTCCTAAAAAAAAAAAGAATCATTATGAAATAACCTGTAAAACCTTTATGTAAAACCTTTATGTAAAACCTTCGGTTATAACAAACTGTATGCTGCAATTCTGGAAGGGGATCATATTCATTCATCCACATTCATATTCATCATTATTCATTATAATGTTTATTTTTCAGCATGATGTCCTATTGCATGTGGTCTCACTGAGACCGAGGATAACGGTTTGATGATGACTCTTTGCTGGGTTTAGGTAGCAGAAATCATCTCAAAATAAAACTCAAATCAAGTTTCCTTTCAGAGGTCTCTCTCTCTCTCTCTCTCTCTCTCTCTCTCTCTCTCTCTCTGTTGCAGTAGACTGATTTCTGCTACATTATGGTTCTAAGATAGGAATCTGTCTGATTGTCTATGTGTTCTGATGCATGTGAAGTAAAAGAGATTAACTGCTATACAAGTCCCTGTGAATGAGTTGCTACTATTGAAATGATAACTAATTTAAAATGAGCATATTAATTAAAAAACTTCTGATCTGAGGCTGGAACTACTGTCAGAGCTGCTGTTATAGAAAATTAATCAACACCTTCTGACCAATCAGATTTGAGAATTGCACAGCGCTTTGCACAGCCCTTATCAGGTTTAAAATTTTAGTAAGGTTCGTGTGTCATGGTTAATATATCACAATGTTGAATTCGTATTACATCAGCTGCTAATTTTAATCTCTGATTTGTTCTCCTTACATTCTTCCATAAACTGCTCTAATTCCAGTTAGAAAGTTTCATTTTACTGAGTTAAATATATATATATATATATATATATATATATATATATATATATATATATATATATATATATATATATATATATATATATATATATCTTAGAAGACAGAGTCAGGTACTTGTTTATTTCTAATTTATGTGACTCGATCATTATCAGTACAATAATTAATAATGAGATAATTATCAAGTGAGTGATGTTGCACAATACAACAAATAAAAATGAAATAAATATTAAGTGTTATTTATAGCCAGCTAAGGAATTGATCAGCATCACTGATCATTACAACATTACTGTAACTAAGCAAGCTGATTTGGCTAGCAAAGTTAAGAGTCGTATAAAAAAAAAAAAAAAAAAAAGTTTGCATTCTACAAACCAATTGTCAGTTGTTCTCATAAACACACATTTACATCATAGCTATCAGATGTTAGCCTATAATTCTATGTGCAGCAAGCAGTTACAGTCTGGTAGTGTTGAATCTCAAGAGAGCTAAAGTAAAAACGTAAAGGGGGAATAAGTTTAAGGAATAAATACACCAGGAACAGAATATACAGCCTGAACCTTATAATTATGTTCACATTTCAAAAGCAGGTCTAAGAGTAATTAGCAGACTGGGAATAATAATAGATGCTGTAGTGTGTGTGTGTGTGTGTGTGTGTGTGTGTGTGTGTCACAGTGCTGTAATGTTAAGGCTAAAAGGATTTCTGCAGTGTGTTACTGAGCAGCTTGAGGGAAGGAAGGATGTGTCTCTTTGTGTTTAGGTTTTTTTGTACGCTATTTCACCGCTGAAGGAAAAGGCTGGAAACTGGATGTGAAGGATCAGGGATAATCCTGCCTGCTCTCTTTTTGGATCTGTTTTTATAGAGCTCTGTGATGAAGGACAGGTTGGAGTCAGAAAAGAAAAGCAACATTTCTACTCCAGATGGCATAAAATGCATAACTGAGTGCAACACAAAAGCCCTGATTTAACAATGGTGTGTGTGTGTAAACTTGAGCAGGATTTATAGAGGACTGTGTATTTCAAATGAGCAAAATAATGTGGCTTGTCTTTTGATGAATATGTGATTTGAGGAGTTATACCTAAAGGTACTAACTACACGGTGAGGCCAATGTTTTTGTCAAATAAGAGTGAAATTTAAAATTTATGAAGTCTTCAGTTTACTGAAATTTTCTTTAGTCAAACAATACCGAAATAGCCAAATAGCAAATACCAAGATGCTGAAATAGCTCAGTTGGGAGAGCGTTAGACTGAAGATCTCAAGGTCCCTGGTCCAATCCTAGGGTTTGGCAGCTGGGGAAACCTGCAAAATGCAACAACTCCCTCTAACATTGTACGTGTAAACACTACACATAACGCTTTCACAAATTAGGTAGGGCAGTGGTGGTTGAACAGTTAAGGCTCTGGGTTACTGATTAGAAGGTTGGGGGTTCAAGCCTTAGCACTGCTAAGCTGCTACTGTTGGGCCCTTGATCAAGGCCCTTAACCCTCTCTGCTCCAGGGGTGCTGTATCATGGCTGACCCTGTGCTCTAAGCCCAACTTCTTAACAAGCTGGGATATGCAAAGAAGAGAATTTCAATATGCTGCAATGTATATGTGAGAAATAAAGGCTTCTGCTTCTAACAATATTTTGGTTTCTCATAGTTATGGCTTATTATCACCATGGCACAAGATTGGTTTTGTAACTGAGGTCCGCGGCTTCACGCCTCCCTCTGATATATTGAAAAAGGAAAAAAAAAAAGATTTTTAGTCACAAATACCTGCATGATGATGATATTGTATTTTTAACAAGTTTTTTGACATGTCTCATGACCATTAATATCATACTCAAGTCTCATTTTGACTCCTCTGGGAGTCTGTAAGTGATCTGAATTTTCCTCATCTATCAAGAACTTCGGAGCTGCTGAGGCAACATGGTGGCTATCTATCTATCTATCTATCTATCTATCTATCTATTACAGTGTCTACCTTTTACCTGAAAGATGATGTACAAATACAATATATATATATTATATATTAGGTATACTGGTATATCTGCCTAATAAATATAGGTAAAGTGTAGATCATAACTGTAGACACTGGAATATGTGCAGTCACAGTATGTGAGCAAGAGTCCAAAAGGTAGTAATGCAATGTGTAGTGTCTGAGCAGTCATCTATAGACATACGTAGCTCTGTAGCAGCTCTGTAGAGAACAAATATCACAGGCAAACATCTCACATAGGGCTCACATGGATATTGTTTCATCCTCAAACTTGCAGTACAGTGACTGTACGTGATGTATAGTAATTCACGCAACTCTTCTTCATAAATCACCCACAAGACACTCACTAACTGTGCACAATTTATCCCATTGCACACGCAAATTAGTAGTGGTTATCTGAGATTTCAGTAAATGAGGGTCTGAGTGTGACAATGTTATTTTAATCCCAGCAATCTGGAGAAGGCTCACCTCTCCACATTTTAATCTTTATTACTGGACACATCATGACCACGGTTCTCTTTCTCCTACAGAGGGAGCACATATTGATCACCAGTGTGATTGATTTTCTCAATAAATCATGCAGTGAATCCATTTCCATCATTCTACAGGCTTGGGTTATGATGAAATGTAATTGTTCCTTTCTTCTGAACAAAGAGAGAAATAGACGACTCCTTTTGTTACAATTGTGGTATATTGTCATATATACTGTGTGTATATGTACTATATTAGGCTATATTCCTATTCTTTTTCTAGTCATAGTATTAAATCAATTATTTTATTATAAGTGAAATGATAGTGAAATGTATTTTTTTTCCAACTCAGGAAATTAATTTCGCTAAAGGTCATAAACAGTCATGTTAAGAAACATATATGTACAGGAAATTATGAACAAGTCAAGTACCAAGGTTTAATAAAGAGTGTTAAAATGATATATGAATATGAAATAGAAAGGTAAATTTATTCTCATTCCCTCCAGCTCCTAACTGCACACACAGCTGTCATCTGAAGGATTCCCAATATTTCGTTATAATTATAATAATGTTTCATTCTATTTACAATATGATTTATTATTTTTAGTTATTTTTTACTAATATTATTTAAGCCGGTCGTTTTAACTGGAACCCGATCCAATTAGCCAATCATGTGGCTGATGCACAATGCAGAAAATCATGCAGATACAGGTCAAGAGCTTCAGTTTATGTTCAGAATGGGGAAAAAGTGTGATCTCAGTGACTTTAACAGCTGTTGGTGCCAGATGGGCTGGTTTGAGTATTTCAGAAACTGCGGATCTCCTGGGATTTTCACACACAACAATCTCTTGACTTTACACAGAATGGTGCAAAAACAAAAACATTCAGAAGCAGTTCTGTGAGCGGAAAAGGCTTGTTGATGAGAGATCAGAGGAGAATGACCAGACTGGTTCTGAGCTGACATGAAGTGAACAGTAACTCTCTAACATAACCACTCTTTACAACCACAGTGAGCAGAAAACACATGGACCCTCGAGGAGGATGAGCTACAATAGCAGAAGACCACATCATGTTCCACTCCTGTCATCCAAGAACAGGGATCTGAGGCTACAGTGGGAACAGACTACTGGACAGTTGGATAGCTGTTTTTGTCCAGTCTTCAGCCTCTCTCATCAACATTCTTCCACACACAGAACTGTCGCTCACTGGATAGTTTTGTTATTTTTATGCATTGTGCTTTAAGCTAGGCACATGATTGGCTGATTGCATAAATGAACAGATGTACAGGTGTTCTTAATAAAGTGGCTGGTGAGGGTATAAGTAAATATACATAAATATACTTAAATAAAATATGCACTGTTAAGCATAGATCTGAGCTATAAAAGGCTTCAAAACCGCTCATTTAAATCACTGTAAATCACAGACTGCCATCAACAGAGCCTTAAGGAAAATGATTACACTCGAAAAGAGCTGAAGTATGCAATTCTATAACTATTTATATATATAATATCTGTGGTTATAGTACAAAACTGCCTTTTGTTGGTTTATATCCATGATTAGTGTTTATATCAGTGATAATGTAATTGATGATTATACAGTATATGTTATATTTTGAACTATATTTAATAATTGTTTTGTTATTAAATCTAAAGAGATGTCACATATTACTTAATTTAAAACAAACAAAAAAAAAGTATTACATCCAAATGTATCTAAACTTAAAAGTTCAGAGTCAAGAGATATATAATGGAGACTTGACCAGGAAGCATTGTTAAAACCAAGCACTTGGTCTTTTATTGGTATCTCACACTTACAGGACAATAACACACCTGATGTTTAGCCACAGAGCTGGCTAAATATGGGAAAAAAATTCCCAGTGAAATTAACAAAAATGGTGAACACACACGCAAACACAAACTAATGTGTGGATATAACACACACAGGCAAGATAAACAAAGAACAAACACATAACACTTCATCTAATGTTAAACATTAAAATAACAAGGACACCACTGAGGCTCATGGGTATGCAAATTAGAGCATACTGTACTGTTGTGCATTGATGCTACAACATTTTAATTCCAAAACTGTATATTATTTATAGATATGCAGATTATGTCTCAGTGCATTTTGGATATCTGCTGATAAAACTGTAAAGCGTGTTTAAAAACGAGGACAGACAGACAACATATTTCCAAAAGCATTGCTATTCACAAAGCAAGTGACCCCACAGAGAGTCAAAATGGTAACCACCACCAGCAAAAGAGCAAGCGAGGAAGTCATCCTCCTGATCCTGAGTGTTGTTTTATTCTCTCTATTTGGACACACAATAGCTTCTGCCTTTGCAGACGCAACTCTTTCTAGCATGGATGTGAATTTAAATATATACTTATGGACAACACTACAACAATTTTTAAATGATAAAAAGTAAGCATGTAAATTTTCAAGTCAAATGAATAGTCAATGTCAACAGCCAATCCCTTCTTTACCAACCACGTGTAAGAAAATTAATGACATTAATATTACATTCTTATTGTATATAAACTATTACCTACTAGGTTGTCAGTTCAGCCTAGTAGCCTAAAATGTGTTTTGAAAGCTATATTATTTTACGTATTGAATAAAATATAGCTTGTTGAGGACATTGAGGTTGTTGTAACAATAGGAAAAAAGAAGAGAGAATGGTTACTTATGCACTGTATATATGTATGTACAATACATATAATAATAACAATAATAATAATAAGATAACCTATATATACACTGTACAAGGTATACAATATATAAGTTATATTAAATTCAATTTTAATTGTATAGCACTACGCAGCTTTACAGAAATCTCAGTGTAGATTTAGATTCCTTGTGATGTATAAGTTATGTGCTCTGAGGGGATATTTTTTGCTCACTTAAATAATCAGTACAGACACTAAAGTCTTAGATCTTTCATCTATTCTTGGAAATTTAGACAAGAGAAAAGGAACCGACATCTCTTCTCTTTCTTTAGTTTTGCCTCACTAAACCTTTCGTACTTATTGTAATACTTTTTACACTATAATCCCCTTCGCCTTTCATCAGCGGGGGACAATACTTGAGAATTGTAATCGTATTTGTTACTATAAGTATTAATTTGTCGTATTAATATTTTACTTGAGTATTATTGCCAGTGAATACTTTTACTCTTACTTGCATAGTCACTCACTGAATACTTGTACTCTTTTATTTAGACCTTCAAAATACACATTACAAATGTACTCTCGTCTAGCCAATGACGGTATGCTGCATGAATCAAATGGGATTAGTTTAGCATCCAATCATTTCACTTTAGCATCCAATTGAGTTCGACAGTGTAGAAAAACAATCTGTGTGCCATGTGAAGATGGATAATCCACAGGACTGCTGTGTTGAACTTGAGGATGAGTGACCTGGACCTACTTTAGTAAAATGTTTCCGTATGCTGGAGTTACAAAGATCTGTATAAAATGAGGCATCTCCTTGGCATCCATCACCATGCACTCCATCTAAATTAAAAAAGCCTGTTGAGCTAAGTTTTGCTAATTTGCTAACATTATCTGGCTATATTAAAGTTAGTTAACTAAGGTAACCTGTTTGCTTTGCTAATGGCAGGTTAGACTAGCATCGATTCCAGTAGCTAACATAATTTGCAGCCAGTCAAATCTAGCTACTGGTAAATATTGCAAATGACAGAGACTGAAATGTTTTCAGGCAAAAATGGCATAGTTGCTCTGAAACATAAATCATCTTCTATCAGTTTTCAGATAGGTAGGTATTATTTATTTTTCACATGAAAACTTTTTTTCATGAATGTATGGATTTCATC